TTCCAGCAGCAGTGGAGCATTGTCGTTCTCATCCAGCACAAACACCTGCAGAGTCACATTGCTGCCCAGGGCAGGCACACCAGCATCCCGCGCGCTCACCTGGAACTGCAGCAGCTCCAGCTCCTCATGGTCCAGAGGCTGCAGCGCGAACACCTTGCCGCTCTCTGCGTGCACAGACACGAAGCTTGACAGCAAGCGCTCGCCCACCCTCCTCTCCACTAGAGAGTAGGACACCAGCGCGTTCTCCTGCGTGTCCGCGTCTGTGGCCGACACTGTGAAGATGTGCGCGCCAGGAGGGTTGTTCTCCTTCACGAACACCGTGTATTCGGGCTGTGCGAACGCGGGAGCGTTGTCGTTCACATCAGCCACCTCCACGGACACGCTGGCTGTGGCCCACAGCGAGGGCGAACCCCCGTCCCTGGCTGTCACAACCACGTAGTAGTTAGCGACAGTCTCTCGATCTAGGGCACTGTCCAGTACGAGTGAATAATAATTCTTGAAGGTGGACACCAGCTTGAAGGGGACATGAGGGGTCAGAGAGCAGGTCACCTGCCCGTTGACAGTAGAGTCAGGGTCTGTCACGCTGATTAAGGCGATAACTGTCCCCAATTGTGCATCCTCTCGCACAGGGAGTGATAATGATGGGTGCGTTATCGTTTTCATCCAGGATTTCCACGAGTACAGTGCAGTGAGCCACCATAGGTGGATGTCCTTTATCTGTAGCATCCACGTGAATTTCATAACTGTTACTATCCTCAAAGTCAATAGCGCCATTTACTTTTATCTCTCCAGTTTGTTCATTTATTAAAAATTTCTTTCTTATGCTAGATGGAGTCAAAGAACTAAATGAATACTCCACTTCCTTGTTTATTCCTTCATCTGTGTCAGTAGCATTCAGCCATATGACTAACGTTTGATTCTCTTGATTCTCAGACATCTTAACTTCGTAAACAGATTTGTCAAAAACGGGAGCATTATCAACAGCATCCAACACCTGGATCAACAAAGAAACCGATCCGGTAAACTCGGGTTTGCCTCCATCCGTTGCTGTCAGTAACAACTTTAGCTGAGGGTTTTCTTCCCGATCTATCAGTTTTCGAAGAACAAGCACTGGGAGCTCGCCTTTGCCTTTTTTGTTTACAATATCAAGAATAAAAAAATCGTTTGAACTGAGTTTGTAAGTAAGCATCGCGTTCTCGCCAACATCTGCATCAGAAGCGCCTTCTAGGGGAAAACGAGAATCAAGCAGCCTAGATTCGGGTACCAAGATCTTTTGTTCTGCTACGGAGAACATCGGAGGGTGTGGGAACACCGGCGGATTGTCGTTAATGTCCCTGACCTCCACCTCCACGTGGAAAACCTGCAGAGGCCGGTCCACGATCACCTCCAGGTGGATGCTACACTCCGCGCTCCGCCCGCACAGCGCCTCCCGGTCGATCCGAGAATTCACAAACAAAATGCCATTCTGCAGATTTACCTCCAGAAGGTCCCCGCGGTCCTTGGACGCCACCCTGAACAGGCGGGGCACCAGCTCGGCCAGCTCCAGCCCCAGGTCCTGAGCGATGCGGCCCACGAAGGTGCCGTGTTTGGCCTCCTCAGGGACGGAGTAGTGGAGATGGCCGCTCCCTGCCTCCCAGGCTGCGAGGAGAAGAAGCCAGAACAGCAGACGCCAAACTCCATGGCTCAGGCCTCTGGACATCACCATAGAACCATTCTCTTGTCTTAAAACTCCATGAATATGCCATGTAGAATGCACACACGTTCTAATATCTTCCGGTCGATTTCCTAGTCTCATTTTTTTCTAATCGAAACGCTGAGATCTTTGAATGTAGCTACTTACTAACCCTCGTGAAACAGTGAAGTATGTCTTTGTTCTAAAAAGCTACATATTTTGTGGACGACAGCGACATCCAGTGGTTAAACGTGTAAGTATACTTTTATGAGTGCAATTTTTCTTTAATTCACATCTTTGGTTTGTTTCTGTGGATTATTGTCTCTGTGTCTCATATTACATCTCTTTAATACGCGTTAATGTTTAATGTGAATCCGTAATGCAACTTTTCCTTCAATATGAAACCACAAAAAGTAATTCATTTCTTGATATAAGCGAGAATTACTAGCTAAATTTTAACATGACCTTAAGAGTCATGAAATAATGAGAGGGCTGATAGTATATTGCACAACAGGTGTAGACTCCTTCAAGTTGTAATACTCAATTCAATTATTTTGGCATTGTTTTAAGATTAAGTAAATTTCATTTAGAGAACAATTTCAAGACACTAAGTCAGTTGTTTGTTAGGTTCTTGTGGCTCCAAAGTCAACACTAGGAAGTAGAGATTGCCTACCTCACACTGGTCATGTTTCCACTTACGTTCTTATACGTATTCTTAGTAACCATGCAACTTTGGCTTCCCATCCATGCAAACTCTCTGTGCCATTTCCCACCTTCATAATAGTGTCTCAATAGTAGGAAGACAGTGTGTAAATTATAGCATATTAAAGTCTGCAGTGCTTCTTTGAAAGAATGGGTACTTCATAAGTACAAACTATTCTCAGACCCCAGTTTAAACACATTTGTTTTTATGATACTTATGACTGAATCTGACTCCTCAGGAGAAAAAAAAAGAATTTCCTTTGGAAAACTGTCACTCTCCAGTGGCTAAACTCTGGCTAGCAAAAAGACCAAAAGAGGATGGTTCTTGTATTTAAGAAAATGGAAATCAGTTACATGAGAAGAAATATCATTTTATTACACATAACATTGACTAAAGAATCTCATTTTGAATTAAGTAATTGACAAATTCATGTCTACTGCTTTCATAGTTTGCTACAAGAAACGCATTGTTGTCATATTTTCCAAGTTTTGAGTAGTCTCTGAGTTCTTGTGTCAAATGTATGCCCTTCAACACAACGTACCTTGAATTCAGACTTGTACTTTCAAATGTTTCTGTTTGAAGTTATTTTTCACATTCCATGCACCATTTGAGCTTGGGTTCAAGTATTTGCCTTTTGTTTTGTTTTCTTGGGAGAAGAGTTGAGACAGGGTTTCTTTACATACCACTTCCTACCCTTGAACTCACTTTGTAGGCCAGGCTCGATTGAAACTCACAGAGACCTGCCTGCCTCTGCCTCCAGAATGCTGGGATTAAAGGCGTGTGCCACCACTCCCTGCAGGTTCAGTTGTTTGAATTCATAGTATAGACTGAGGGGAGCTCTCAGTGCCATTTGCATCCAAGACAGTTCTGTCTTTAAGAGCTAATACTTTCAGCAATTACTTTATGATAACTAAAAACACATTCCTTCTTATTCATGTCTACATTGATGTAATTGGCAAGTTAGTCTTTCATGGTAATCCACATTATCTCCCAGATCACAGACTACCACCATATACAAATTCAGAATTTATGAAATGCCTGTGAGATTAGTTCATCTTTTGATACATGAAGAAGCATGAAGGCAAAGAATCTATGGCCATAAGACTGAAAAGGGCTGAGAAATTATAAAGAGAATGGTGATAAATCACATTGTGTTCTGCCTAACAGCTGACAGTGTAGACCTCTATAGCAACTTCACTCAATCTAAAATGGAATTACGAAGCCAAAAATGAAGTGCCTATTCTTCCAATCTCCCCAAATTTAGTTTTTTAAGTACAAATGGCAAAATTAAAAATAGCTTGGACTAAATGTCCAGCTAAAGAAAACCAATGTGAAAGTCATAAATTATAGTTTCAAAATGTTAAGTAGCATGTAAGGGCATTGAAGATATGTTCAGATTCTTGTCTTATGGAATAAAGAGAGAAATCTAAATTTTCAACTATTGTAGGAAAGTTTTCTTAGGTTTTAGACTATTAATTGCAAATAGATTTAGAGGATTAATCTTTACATCTCAATTTTTAATCACTAATCAAAAAAGCTAATTTTAAAAATCACTTTCTTGAAGAAAGAAATTATTAACTACCAGGAGAGAGTATTTTCTCTAAAACCACAAAAAAGAGTTCAGAATTGTAAACATCATAGAGATCAATGTCAGTAATTTTTTATAATTTACATTATAAGAAACTTAGGGATCTTTTACATTCATTGAAATGATAGTTACATTTATACTCTTAATAGAATTATATTTCCGGTTTGTGGGATTGTTTTGCTGGGTGTTTTGTTTTGTTTTGGTTTTTGGTTTTTCTTTTTCTTTCTTTCTTTTTTTTTTTTTTTTGGTTTTTCGAGACAGGGTTTCTCTGTGTAGCTTTGGAGCCTATCCTGGCACTCGCTCTGGAGACCAGGCTGGCCTCGAACTCATAGAGATCCACCTGCCTCTGCCTCCCGAGTGCTGGAACTAAAGACGTGCGCCACCAACGCCCGGCGGTTTTTGATTTTTCAAGACAGGGTTTCTCTGTGGATTTGGAGGCTATCCTGGAACTAGCTTTTGTAGACCAGACTAGTCTTGAACTCACAGAGATCCATCTGCCTCTGCCTCCTGAGTGAGGGGATAAAAGTTTTACACCACCACCTACCGGTTTTTTACTTTTTTTAGACATGGTCTCTCTACGTAGTTCTGACTATCCTGGAATTCACTATGCAAACCATGATGGTCTCGAACTCACAAAGCTATACCTGCCTCTGCCTCTGCCTCTGCCTCTGCCTCTGCGTTAGGATCAAAGTTGTGCACCAGCATGCCCAGCCTAGAATTAGGTTTCTAAGTAGAGAAGTAGTTTTTTATAACTCCTTGGAGCCAATGTTAACCGAACGACTACGAAGCCACTGAGGGTTGTTTTGTTGTTGGTGGTTGGTTGGTTTTTTTGGTTTTGTATTTCACAACAAATAGCTTTCAAGTGTCATAAAAGCTCAACACTAGCAATTTGATTAACTCATTATGGTTTTTAACTAAAATGATGTCAACAGCTAATTGATGTGCAGCTACAAGTTCTAAGTTTGGAAACACAAGCCTTTTCCGAATTTAGATATCTACAATTTAAAAAAAAAAAAAAAAAAAAAAAAAAAAAAAAAAACCATATTTAAAAAAAAAAAAAAAAAAAAAAAAAAAAAAAAAAACCTCTGGTAGAATTGTAGACAATGAAAACCACTATTTAAATATATCAATGAAGTAAGAAATTCTTCCACAAAGAAATAACTACATAAATAATGCAGTTCTACAAAAACTCACCTTCTCATGGGAGTCCAAAGAAACAGATGGTTCTCCCGATCCATCTACAGATCCAGGACATGGAGGTAGACCCGGGCTGAAGGCCATGAGGTCTGTCTTGTGCGGACCCTCTCCAGAGCACACCCTTTGCTGCCTCTGCTGCGAGTATGACCAGGTCCCCACTGCACTGGAGCACACCAGCACGGGTTTCCCCGGCCCACAAACGCCCCCCGTGGGGGCAGAGGAGCAGCGCAGCGCTGTGTACAGCAGCAGAGTGAGCACCAACAGGCTGGACACCGCGCAGATGGCGATGATCAAGTACACGTTGACATCCACCAAGGATGATTCTGGCACAGTAGCACCTACAGAGGACCGCGATGAGACCTTTGGTGCCTGGCCATTTTCCACTAGAGACACCAGCACGGTGACTGTGGCGGTCAGTGGAGGCTCACCGTGGTCCTTCACTAGCACCAGCAGGCGCTGTCTAGTCCCATCTCCCTCGTCCAGGGCCCTTGTGGTACTGATCTCACCAGTGTATAGACCTACACGGAATGGACTCCGCGTACTGCCTGGCCATGGCTGCAGCTCATAAGACAGCCAAGCATTGTAACCAGAGTCAGCGTCTACTGCGCGCACCTTCGTCACCACGTGACCAGGATCCACAGATCTAGTCAACAACTGATTAAACACTCCATCGGCACCTCCCGTCCCAGACCCAAGCAACACCGGTGCATTGTCGTTCTCATCCAGCACAAACACCTGCAGAGTCACATTGCTGCCCAGGGCAGGCACACCAGCATCCCGCGCGCTCACCTGGAACTGCAGCAGCTCCAGCTCCTCATGGTCCAGAGGCTGCAGCGCGAACACCTTGCCGCTCTCTGCGTGCACAGACACGAAGCTCGACAGCAAGCGCTCGCCCACCCTCCGCTCCACCAGAGAGTAGGACACCAGCGCGTTCTCCTGCACGTCGGCGTCTGTGGCCGACACCGTGAAGATGTGCGCGCCAGGAGGGTTGTTCTCCTTCACGAACACCGTGTATTCGGGCTGCGCGAACGCGGGCGCGTTGTCGTTCACATCAGCCACCTCCACGGACACGCTGGCTGTGGCCCACAGCGAGGGCGAGCCCCCGTCCCGGGCAGTCACCACCACCTTATAGTCAGCTGTGGTCTCTCGGTCCAGGGCGCTGTCCAGCACGAGCGAATAGTAGTTCTTGAAGGTGGACACCAGCTTGAAGGGGACATGAGGGGTCAGGGAGCAGGTCACCTGCCCATTGGCCCCAGAGTCACGGTCGGACACACTGATCAGGGCGATTACAGTACCCAAAAGAGCATCTTCTTTCACCGGATCAGACAAGAAAGTAAGGACTATTTCTGGTGCGTTATCGTTTTCATCCAGGATTTCCACGAGTACAGTGCAGTGAGCCACCATAGGTGGATGTCCTTTATCTGTAGCATCCACGTGAATTTCATAACTGTTACTATCCTCAAAGTCAATAGCGCCATTTACTTTTATCTCTCCAGTTTGTTCATTTATTAAAAATTTCTTTCTTATGCTAGATGGAGTCAAAGAACTAAATGAATACTCCACTTCCTTGTTTATTCCTTCATCTGTGTCAGTAGCATTCAGCCATATGACTAACGTTTGATTCTCTTGATTCTCAGACATCTTAACTTCGTAAACAGATTTGTCAAAAACGGGAGCATTATCAGGAGCATCCAACACCTGGATCAACAAAGAAACCGATCCGGTAAACTCGGGTTTGCCTCCATCCGTTGCTGTCAGTAACAACTTTAGCTGAGGGTTTTCTTCCCGATCTATCAGTTTTCGAAGAACAAGCACTGGGAGCTCGCCTTTGCCTTTTTTGTTTACAATATCAAGAATAAAAAAATCGTTTGAACTGAGTTTGTAAGTAAGCATCGCGTTCTCGCCAACATCTGCATCAGAAGCGCCTTCTAGGGCACCTCCAGAAGGTCCCCAAAGCCCTTGGAATCCAATTGAAACAGACCAGGCACCAACTCTGGCAGCTGCAGGTCAAGATCCTGCACGATGCGGCCCACGAAGGTGCCGTGTTTGGCCTCCTCTGCGATAGAATAGTGGAGCTGTCCGCTCCCCACCTCCCAAACTGTGAAGATCAGTAGCGAAAGCACGAGATGCCAGCCCTCCGGATCTCCTCCGCCTAAATACAGCATTTCAGGAGCTTGATATTTCCGACTCGCTTAAATTGCCTCTTGATGAAGAGAAAATACCTGATTCTCTCAATTCCACCCTCCCGTGTTCACCATTGCTCACCCGAGTGAAAAAGGATGGAGCATCTCTTCTCCTGGAAAAAGGATGGCTGTGCTTGTCTTGAATCAGAAAGAATAAGATGGCCAAGAGCGACATCAGGCGGCCCAAAGAGTAAGTACATATTCGGCGAATAAACATTGAACCATTGACTTGCAAACTCTTACTTTATTCTCTGAATTTTATAATTGTTGAAACAGAAAACAACCTTTCTCTTCCTGCAGGCTTTATTAGAGGACTGAGCTCCAGAACTATGAAATGCCATAATTACAGTTCTCTTGCGCCTGAGAAAAATGTCCACATAACTTTAAAATACCGATGAAAACGGAATGGCAATTAAAAACGATCAGTTACACAATAATAAATATTAAATTCGAAAATCATTTTGTTCTGTAACTCAGGATCATCCATATTCCTAAATTTCAGATTCTGATGTTACAGACTGCTGTGAGTCACTATGCCTAAGGAAACTAGGTGCCCAGAAATTTACTGATCAAAAATAAACTTTTTCATGCTGGATAAAAGAAGTCAGTAAATATATTTATGAAACAATTTTTAAGTAATTTCATGAATTGTAAATGAGTAAAGTTTTTTTTCAAAATAAGAATTTAGTTAAACAACCCTCATGGAGAGAAAAATATTATGTATGTATTTCTCTTTATTAATATTTATGTAACTGTTCCCACCATTATGTTTTATTCCTACACCTACATTATATGATTGCTTTCAATCATTGTCATATGCAAATAGCAATCTCTCTCTTCTTTATCTCTTGTATTGTATGACCCCATAGTTCATTTCAATTTCAGTATTATTCATTCAGGGGTTGGGGAGAGTTCTACTGTTAGAGTTATGCTTAGAATTCTTTTCTGCCTAGATTTTACTTAAGAAAAATTCTTTCACATTCTAGCCTCTCATTAAAACATGCAAGTCAATTAATTAAATCTATTGTTAGTCCTTTTGTGGTCTAAAAGCAAAATCATAGACATTATTGATAATAATTGAAATGAGCAGGGCGTTGGTGGTGCATGCCTTTAATCCCAGCACTCTGGAGGCAGAGGCAGGAGGATCTCTGTGAGTTCAAGGCCAGCCTGGTCTCCAGAGCGAGTACCAGGATAGGCTCCAAAGCTACACAAAGAAACCCTGTCTCGAAAAATCAAAAAAAAATAATGATTGAAATGATTAGTTGCCAAATTCAGTATTAGATGATATAAAGGATCTTAAATGCCATTTCTACTTTGTAAAACCAATTAAAATTTAGGAAGAAAATGTGATAAAGTCACATCTGAGAGTTAGATAGATGTCAACATAATAGGAACTATAAAATAATTTCCACAAAGAGAAGGCCACACACTCTATTCAAATAGTGAAATAAACATACAGGTACAGAAATCCAAAAATCCTTAAAACTGGGAGCTAAAGTAATTCATTTTATGTAGAGCATTTTATAGACAAGTAAGGTGGTAGACATAAAAGGAATTATGAAAATGAAAACAACACAAAAAGAAACTTGCTTTCTGATACCTTTCATTTTGGAAAGAAGGATAAAATCTAGTCATAAATGATCACACAGTGCCATTATGTCCATAACAGGCTATAAGAATCCAGAGTCCCAAAAACCTCTAAGTCACTTCCAGTAAGTATAACCATTGTCATCTGAGGGATGTGCTCAACATTCAATTAGTGCGCAATGCCAGGGCAAATGAAACACACAAGAAGCAAAGGAAGAATAAAGTTCTAAAATTTAAACACTGAAAGACAAAATAAGTATCTAAGACTTTTCAAAGATTTACTTCCAAAAAGCAAAATATTTCTACATGAACAAGAGAATCCTCATTATTTTGAGTATTTTTATGGGGAAGATGTATATATTATACATCTCTCTACAACAATAGAATTGGGACTACTGCACACAGTATTCTTGATTTTCAATTTTTGTTAAATCACATTAAATGTAAACTCAATGTAGACTTTGGGGGTGGTGCTAGGATTTGAACCTGAGACCTTGAACATGCTATGAAACATTTTTATGAGATACACCAACTTATGCACAAAAGATTAATACAAATGTACTGCATCACTGATTCAAGTTCAGCTGATGTCTATCAGAATAAGAGCAAATACTGACCAGCCAAGGATGTTAAAAATATTAAATTATTGAATATAATATTGTAAAATTTCTGTACCAGTAAAATAAATAAATAAAACGTGAAATGGTGAAAATCCCCAGATCCCAGCACTCAGAGGTATAAGACAGAAGGATTATGAGATTTCGGTAAATCTGAGCTGCATGGTTGACACCATTAAAAAAAATAGGAAAAGGAAAAGTTGATAAATTTAGGGTGTATTAAAAGCAGCCTCATACACTCATCTTCTCATTTTACTTTTGGCTAACTTATAAAAAAAACAGAGAGGAAAAATGAAAGTTAAATATTTCAAAGGAAATTATTCTGTACATTATGACATGAATAATATGAATAATATCACAACATCTTGAAACAACTAGAACTAAAATAAAAAATAAGATGATAAACTAAAACCATGAAATTTATTAATACAACTGTAAGCAGAAGATAATATTTAAAATATACCTTTCCAATAATACTATAGAATATATTAAAGGCTCAGAGCGTAATCATGAAATTTAAATGTTTAGAGGAATGCATTTCCATGGACCTCATTAAAGTTCTGTTCTAGAAGATTAAAATCATATTAAGGCTAAAATCAGTGTCTCACACAATAAGAAATTCTGACAACTTGAAGCAACAGAGACTCTGGTATATGGATAATCAGTGTGTGACATGTCAATTGAAACCAAAAGTATTTGGCCAACCTAAAAATGTCAGATCCCAGATATAAAAAAATAAAAGTATACAACACAAAATAATAAACTAGAGCCTGATAGTAGTGGTGGCACACACCTTAAATCCCAGCACTGGGGAGGCAGAGGCAGAAGGATCTCTGTGAGTTCAAGGCTAGCATTGCTCACAGAAATCCAGGACAGCCAAGGTGTTACACAGACAAACCCTGTCTCGAAAAAAGCAACAACAACAATAATAAACCTGGTAAAATTATTTTAAACTAAAATAATGTTGAATTTTGCCAATAATGTGCAAATGTGAAACACCATGAATGTAATTGCAAAGTTTGTACAACTTAAATATTCCGAAGTATAAATGGACTTACTTGAAAGCCATGATCAACATTTAAATCTTGCACTTCCCCAATGACCTCTGATCCTGGACGCGGTGGAAGACTGGGACTGAAGGCCATGAGGTTGGCCTTGGGGGGCCCCTCTCCAGAGCACACTCTCTGTCTCCTCTGCTGCGAGTAAGACCAGCTCCCCACCGCGCTGGAGCACACCAGCACAGGCTTCCCAGGAGCACAGGCTCCTTCGGTGGGCGTCGCCGAGCAGCGCAGCGCTGTGTACAGCAGCAAAGTGAGCACCAACAGGCTGGACACCGCACAAATGGCGATGATCAGATACACGTTGACATCCACTAGTGACACCTCTGGGACTGAAGAGCGTCCTGAAGCCTGAGAAGAGGCCTTTGGCACTTGATTACTCTCAACCAGTGACACTAGAACTGTAGCTGTGGCAGTCAGAGCTGGCTCACCATGGTCTTTCACCAATACCAACAGGCGCTGTCTGGGTGCATCCAACTCATCCAGGGCACGTGTAGTACTGATCTCACCCGTGTACAATCCAACACGGAATGGGCTGCGAGGGCCCACTGAGGGCTGCAGCTCATAGGACAACCACGCATTGTAGCCAGAGTCTGAGTCCACCGCCCGCACTTTTGCAACCACCTGGCCCGCGCTCACAGACTTAGGTATCAGGTCAGTTGCCATACTACCCAAGCCTTCTGTACCAGACAAAAGCAAGGTGGGAGCATTGTCGTTCTCATCCAGCACAAACACCTGCAGAGTCACATTGCTGCCCAGGGCAGGCACACCAGCATCCCGCGCGCTCACCTGGAACTGCAGCAGCTCCAGCTCCTCATGGTCCAGAGGCTGCAGCGCGAACACCTTGCCGCTCTCTGCGTGCACAGACACGAAGCTCGACAGCAAGCGCTCGCCCACCCTCCGCTCCACCAGAGAGTAGGACACCAGCGCGTTCTCCTGCACGTCGGCGTCTGTGGCCGACACCGTGAAGATGTGCGCGCCAGGAGGGTTGTTCTCCTTCACGAACACCGTGTATTCGGGCTGCGCGAACGCGGGCGCGTTGTCGTTCACATCAGCCACCTCCACGGACACGCTGGCTGTGGCCCACAGAGAGGGCGAGCCCCCGTCACGGGCGGTCACCACCACCTTATAGTCAGCTGTGGTCTCTCGGTCTAGGGCACTGTCTAGCACAAGCGAATAGTAATTCTTGAAGGTGGACACCAGCTTGAAAGGGACATGTGGTGTCAGGGAGCAGGTCACCTGCCCGTTGGCTCCAGAGTCCAAGTCCGAAACGCTGATTAGAGCAATGACAGTACCCAGTGCAGCATCCTCTCGAACAGGCAGGGATAAGGAAGTCAATGTGACCTGAGGCACATTGTCGTTTTCATCCAATACCTTCACTAGAACAGTGCAATGACCCGCCATCGGAGGGTGTCCTTTGTCCGTCGCGTCAACGCGGATTTTGTAGACATTGACTTGCTCAAAGTCCAAGTTCCCTTGAATTATGATTTCTCCTGTATCTGTGTCTATGCTAAACTGCTCGAGAACCATGGATGGGACCAGCCTATTAAAGGAGTAAGAAATTGCTGAATTCGTCCCTTCGTCCCTGTCAGAAGCATTCAGTCTAATAACCGTCGTTCCGTTGTCTGAGTTTTCCAATATTCTCACTTCATACTCAGACTGCTGGAAAGTAGGGGCGTTGTCGTTCACATCCAGCACAGTGACTAGCAGCTGAACAGAGCCTGTGAGCTCAGGTTTGCCTCCATCCGTGGCTGTCAGCAGTAGCTTATGCTCAGGAGCATCCTCTCTGTCCAAGGACTTTCTTAATACTAGCTCAACCTGTTTATTTTCTTCGTTCTTTGAATTCACAATTAGTGTGAAGTAATCATTAGAATCAAGTCTGTAGGTTACAATTGAATTAGCACCAATATCTGCATCAGATGCGCCCTCTAGCAGAAACCTAGAGTCTAACATTCTGGATTCTGAAATATACAGCTTTTGTTCTTTCACCGAGAACACTGGCGGGGATTGTCGTTAATGTCCCTGACCTCCACCTCCACGTGGAAAACCTGCAGAGGCCGGTCCACGATCACCTCCAGGTGGATGCTACACTCCGCGCTCCGCCCGCACAGCGCCTCCCGGTCGATCCGAGAATTCACAAACAAAATGCCATTCTGCAGATTTACCTCCAGAAGGTCCCCGCGGTCCTTGGACGCCACCCTGAACAGGCGGGGCACCAGCTCGGCCAGCTCCAGCCCCAGGTCCTGAGCGATGCGGCCCACAAAGGTGCCGTGTTTGGCCTCCTCGGGGACGGAGTAATGGAGCTGGCCGCTCCCTGCTTCCCAGATTGTGAACAGCCAAAGCGAGAGCAGCAGTCGCCGGGAATCCGGACCTCCTCTCCAAGAAAACACCATGTCAAGTATTCTTTTTGTTCCTTGAGAAAAATCCTGTTTTGATATAGAGATCAACTGTTGTGCGTTTGGAATTCTTTAATCCAGTTGAGCCACAACTGCCATTGTTCGGCTTTTAAGAGACATACTACTGCTGGAAGGCTTGCGATCTTGGCGAGCCAGAACTTGATAGACAGCGACATCATGCGGCGCCAAAGGGTAATGATTTCAAAGATTTAACTTAACTGGGCAATAGTTGGGTTCTTTTATTACATAAATGTTTTCTTTTCATTTTTCATTCTTTAATATAGATCCTTAGTATTACAAGTGAATGTCTGTTTATCTTCTGTCTTCTTACATAAATTTAGTTTCAGTGAGAGGTCTCTTCATAAGGAAAAGGTTTCTTCCCAATATTTTAAATACTGGTTTAGCAGGAATATGTTAACATTACTCTGTAATATATATTATGACCTGAGAATGACATGGATATCAAAGGTATAAACTGCCCCCACACACGTGTGTGAAAGGAATTTATTCTCTGGTATCTGATCATTCGAATACATTATTCTATATTAGCATGTAATCCTAATGTTTCTTAAGTTCATATGTGTCCCTGTGGATTCTTATTAAATTTCTACATGATTATTTGGTGGACATAAAATTTCTTAAACTATTTTGCTTACTAATTCTTGGAAAATTAAAACACGTTATTTTTTCAAACATTCATTCAATATATGTGTGATGTGTCAAATAGGCCTCTCACTACATTTCCCATTGCAGGGTTCTCAGCCATTATAAATCCTAATGGTTTTCAACTACGGTCTATGGGGGATTTGGATCTTTCTGCTACTCCCAAATATGAATATTTTCCAAAATTATGGCTTTATGCACTTCATAGGTTTTGCTCTTAATGTGATTCTTGTCTATTGCAATGTCTTTAGACTAGTTTATCTTTTGAAGCATGGAATAAGAACACTTCATTACCTTCAGATGATAAGTGTACTACTGAAAATGCACAGACAGAATAGTAAAATGGAAAAGAGGAATAATGGAATTGTCTAGGCAACTATTAAATTTATCTTCATTTTACTTGCAATTAGACCATCTCTACCTCTGTAAATAATATTAAAGACTTTAGAAAGAAAATGGGCTTACAGAATCCCTTAGAACTTTACAAACAGTAAATATATCCCATACCCAGAGAAGAAAAACCTGAAAAAGTTTGTATCTCTCAAAAGCGATTTTCCAACAAAAGAAAATTATGGTAGCTCATGAATATAGGGGTGGCGGTAAGGAGGACCTCTGTCAATGTCTACCGCATCCAAACATGACTTGATTTTAATTTCTACTAAGTAATCTGCTAAGGCTTTAAAATGACATATGCATGTAAAATAAACCAAACATTTTAAAAAGCAGTTAAACAGCTACAATTACCATCACTAAAACTCTATAATTATCATAAGTGTTCTCCAAAATGAACTATTCTTTAAACAGGAACAGAAATTGGTATACTTGTGGTAATGGTAGTGCCCTATGATAAGAATCCTTTGAGAGCTGCTCATGACTTGAACACCTTTGTTTTTATTTATATGGAAACAAGAGCAAAATACTGTAAAATAATCTCATAGCATATATTAGAATTTAGCCAACCTTGAAAATTAACAGTCAAAGCTAACTAAACAAATACTTGAAATTTTAAAAACACGATGAGTTTTTTATTTGTTTTGTATTTGGTTTTGGGGCCAGGATTTGTCTGTATATCCCTGCCAGTCCTGCAGGGAACTCACTCTGTAGACGGGGCTGGCTTGTAGTTCAGAGATCCACCTGTCTTTGCTTCTCCAAGTGAATGCCGGGATTAAAAGTGTGTGCCACCGCTGCCCTGAAAAGGGATGTTTTGGTTTGTTTTGGTTTGTTTTGTTTTGTTTTGGTTTGGTTTGGTTGTTGTTCTTGTTTGGTTTCTCTGTGTAGCTTTTTGGAGTCTATCTTGGAACTTGCTCTGTAGAACACACTGGCCTCAAATTCACAGAGATCCACCTGCCTCTTCCTCCTGAGTTCTGGGATTAAAGGTGTGTGCCACCACCACCAAGGCTTGGTTTTTTTGTACAACACTAGTTTTATAATCAACACTGTGCTCCATGGATAGACAACTGAACTAATAAATCTTGATAAATCTGAGTAATGAAACTAGATGCAGATACTTTATATGAGGAAGAAACAAAAGACAATGTATGACTTGCAAGAGAAGAATTGCAAAAATGCTGAAAAGAAGGTGTTAAGTGTTACTATTTTTCTAAATCACAAAGGCACATTGTATATGTATTCATAGTTTTAGAATGTACAACAAAACCCAAAAGCTCCCAGAATTCAGAGAGGTAAATACTTTACTGTAAGAACTGCAGAACTTTCACGGCACACTAGTGTCAATTTTTCTGAATGTGAATATACTCCCTATACAAACAAGGAGTCAAATAAAAGCACTACCAAGTCCTGAAAAGAGTATATTTTAAAATAATATTAACTATCACAGGCACAGCAAACACAATCCTAGAAGTAAGGATTAAAAAAAAATGAAGTGCTCACCAATACGATTGGAGAATATAGAATGTTGCATTAAAATACAGATAATTCGACTTGTAGAGAAATTAAACCAACAATGTTGAAACACAGGTTGTGATACCATATGCACACTATGGAGAATGAGTCAGCACATATTTAAATCCATTTAAATATATTGAGTAAATATTTAAATATATAGGTCGGCACATATATTTAAATCGCTTTACTGTAGGATTTATAAGATGGGATAGAGTGGAACCCATTAAGAATGCTTGCCTAGCATGCTACAGGGACAGGAAGCCTTTTCTAAACAGTGTGGGCATTGAATA